TCTAATAAAATGTATGACCGTTAGTAGTTTGTTGGCTTGAATACGTATTTTGTTTTTATTTCGATTTCAATACTGTCCTGTTTTTGTCTGCGCTTGAAGACACCCCGTGTGATATGTGTTCTGTAGCGCATAAGTTCGCATAATGTGTGGTAGACGCCATAATCAGGGTGGTAACTCCCAGAACAAATTCATAAAAGGTCTCAAAAACAGGAGACATTTTTGAATATTTTTCAATAAATTGATATTTAGTCCATTGTTTGAAGGATGTTTTAGAGGTCCCATATTGTCAAAACTGAAATGTCCTGGCTTTTTTCATGGTAACTGAGGTCTAGGTGCTATGTAACTACCATATAAGTTTCAAAACAGTCAGTCCACACACAGCTACATTATTTTTCCAGCCACAATTAATAACAACAATGTATATACAATTACAAATGATTATATATAAATCGTCAGTTTGTTGTTTTACACGCATGCACACAGACATTATTTCATACACGGCATAGTCGTTAGATGCAAGAAACATAGACATATGGCAAGAAATCTGTAGACGTGCCCATAACAACAAAAGACAATACTTTATTGAACCTTTTCTGATAAGAAGTGTGCGCTGCAAACGCGAGCATTTTTGATGATCATTTCTGTCCAGTCTGCTCGTTTTAACGTGTTTAACCACAGCTGTTGTCGGTTTTTTGTCTGGCAGTGGCAGCAGATATTTCTAAATTTCTAATTTGAGGCTGTATTACGTCGATTCTGGCACCCATCACAAGATGATATTTTAAGCTCCTTATGTAGCTGCATCTGCACTGGTTTGAATGGGCCGCCTCCAGTTTCCTCTTTGTTTTGCTGCCTCCAGCTAGCGCTGTGACGTCGGCTGACCCTAGTTACCTGTGGTTGGCCTGGCCGTGCGTCACTCAGAAAAAAACAGGCCAATCAGAAGAGAGGCTCATGAATATTAAGTAGACAGGACAAAATCGACCTGTTCTCAGCAGAGCTCCTGAAAAATGAGCTGTAAAAATATATTGAGATTGTTTTTGGTCCTTATACTGCAAATATATATTCTTAAGGACATCAAAACCTAAAATAAAACTCCAGTAAGGTATAAAATATGTGACCTTTAAAAGGTGACTATGGTTAAAGCCATTTGTGGGTTCATTTCCTAGAAAATATATTGAATTCTACCTTTTCAAGTAGTAACTGTACAGTAATAGAGAGGGTTTTCCTTTCGTGTCAAAATGCCGTTATTAATGGAGTACCTGATCAAAAATGAGGTAGAGAAATACTTGTGGAAGGTTTTGGATACAGCAGTGTATCTTTGCTCAAGCCTTAATGTGTATGTTTAGGGCTTCAGTTCACAGACTGACACCTTCACATTGCTTTGTAGAATTTTCTGATGTTGATTTCATGGCAGATCATCCAACCCTTCACTGAGCCACTCTGTGTACACTTAACACACACTGGTTTCAATCTGTAGGATAGGTTGTTTAAAAGCCTAAAAGGACTGCTTACCCTAACTACACTGCTCACTTGACCATGCAGAAGGCAAATGTGTCTTAACCCTCTTTCCATATACCTTGGCATTGTTTATTATTGGTATATGATTTTCTAATTTACATTAGATATTATATAGCTGATACCAGTTCATAAAAATTATTTTTCACTTGTTTGCCTCCAAGTTCTTTTTATTAGTTTAAGAACAACAACAGTTTCTTTTCATAAGATAACTCCACATCCAACACAATCATTTGCATCTTGTGCACTTTTTATGTCTTCATCCATTCATAGTATTCAGTTAATCTTTTTGCTAATAAAATTTTGGTTGCACTTTTTACAATGTGTGTACTTAACTAAGAAAATACTGGGTAGTATAAGGTAACTACGTGGGATAAGGTTAGTGTAGGTTCAGAGTTAGTTCCTAGTTATTATACCCAGTTATTGTAATAATTATTAGTAGTACAAGCTTATGAGACGTAGGACATGACTGTAAAATAAAGTTCCTTCCTTGTGTTGGTAATACTGTAAGAGGCACTACTAGTTACAGTGCCCTTCACTAATATTGGCACCCTTAGTAACCTAAATATGAGCAAAGGCAGCTGTGGAAATAAATCTGCATTGGTTATCCTTTTGATCTTTCATTCAAAAAAATTCTAACCTATTAAAATAAATGTTTTTCTCCAATGCATGTTGGCCACAATTATTGGCACCCCTAGAAATTCTTATGAGTAAAATATCACTGAAGTACTGTATATTCCCATTCATATTTACATTTTTTAGCACACCAGAGTGACTAAGATCATGAAATTGTCCAGCCATGACTTCCTGTTCTACAGGATTATAAATATGAGGAACTCCAACCAAATTACCTTAATCATCTATCACAATGAGTAAAACCCAAGAATATATTCTGATGTACAGAACAAGATTGTTGAGCTTCACAAAATAGAAAGTGCCTGTAAGAAATACGCTAAAGACTTCCACCATCAGGGCAATAATTAAGTTCCAATCAACTAGATCAACTAATCAACTAAAGATGTTACAAGTCTGCCTGGAAGAGGACATGTGTCTATATCGTCCTAACGCAGACTTTGAGTGGCCAAAGACTCAAGAATCACAGCTGGCGAATCGCAGAGATTAGTTGAGTCTTGGGGTCAGAAAGCCTAAAAAAATTTCAAACAGCCCCTACATCACCACATGTTGTTTGGGAGTCTTTCAAGAAAAATTCTCCTCGCTCATCCAGAAACAAACTCCAGCATATTCAGCTGTCAGACACGACTGGAACTTCAAATGGCACTGGCTTCTATGGTCAGATGAAACTAGAAAAAAGATGGGTTTGGTGCAAACAGGGATAAAAAGTACCCCATGCACACGGTTAAATATATTGCTGGATCTAATGTTGTGGGCCTGTTTTTCTGCCGGAGGTCCTGGACATCTTGTTCAGATGCATGGCATCATGGATTCTACCAACAGATAAAAAATCTAAACCTGACTGCCTCCGTAAGAAATATTATGATGGACCATGGTTGGGTCTTCCATCAGGACAATGATCCAAAACTAACATCAAAATCAACACAAAAATGGGTCACTGAGCACAAAATGAAGCTTCTGCCATGGCCGTCGCAGTTCCCTGGCCTGAACCCTAGCAAATGAGTGATTATGAACATGAAATAATCCATAATTGTGAATATGAATGGGAATATATTTGATATATATTTTACTCATAAGAATTTCTAGGGGTACCAGTAATTGTGTCCAACGTGTATTTGAAAAAGAAAACATTTATTTCATAATATTTCCCCCCATTTAAAATTCTTATTCTCCAATGAAAGGTTAGATTTTGGTGATTTTTTAAAATAAAAGATCAAAAGGATTAACAATGCAGATTTATTTTCACAGCCTTCTTTGATCATATTTGCCAAAGGGTACCAACAATTCTGACCACGTGTGTAAATTGTAAGTGTATTTACCAAGCGGCAACCTCCTGCTCTATCTCTCGTGAAACCAACACGGAAGTGACTTAAACTGTAATTTGTCATAATACCAGTCTGGTATTTAATTTAATTTACTTAATTTCTCCAGTACTGGAAGCAGAACCGATAACATCAGAGCTTATCAATACTACGGTATTTCGTAATTTGGCCCCAAAACCCGTTTAATATCGGGCTCAGGTACCATCCTTACTTACAAGAGAAGCACAGAAGGATCAGTTACAAAGCTACATGACAGTATATCTTGCATCTGTGCTAAAAGTTTCTAAATATGTCATTGAAGGAGAATAACTAGTGGTTTAAGAAACAACAAAGAACAAATAAAACTAAATCTCAGTCTCTCTTAAAAGTGTTACAGCCTCTTCTTCAGCTTCCTGAGCGAGAACAGTTTGTCAACTTCTACATTTCTTCATGAAACTGACTACTAGTGACATATGCATTTTAAGACAATTGAAAACAATATGAAACTTAAAAGAAAGCACAATGATATCATTTAGTATAGTTTTTTGGGGAGGAACTCCATCTTTGAGTTGATCTGAATCTCACAGTTGAATCTGCTGGTTTTGAAGATGAACTTTATTCACTATCAAAACTTTAGATAATGTTTCTGTGATTTATCCAGATGATGTTTTTATGGGTTGATGCATTATTGTGTCACATTTGGTGAGGACGCAGCAACAGACCTGAAAGTCCTGGATCTACTTACTGTGAATGCTTTTTGTATGATTGTGTAGAGAAGATGATTGACTAAAACTCTTGCCACATGCAGTGCAGTGATAAGGTTTCTCTCCAATGTGGATCCTCTCATGTGCTTTCAGGATTCCTGACTGATTGAATCTCTTGTCACAGTGTGAACACTTGTACGGTTTCTCTCCAGTGTGGATCCTCTCGTGCAGTTTTAAACAGTATGCCGAAGTAAATGTTTTTTCACACTCAAAGCACATGTACTCTCTCACACCAGTATGTATTTTCTGATGCTCTTTTAAATGATGTAGAAGTGAAAAACTCTTTCCACACAAAGTACATGTATGTGGCTTCTCCTTTGTATGAACGTTCAGGTGTTTCTTCAGGACTGACGCCCACAAAAATGTTTTGCCGCATTGATCACATGGGTACAGTTTCTCTCCAGTGTGGATATTCACGTGCTCCCTAAGTTTTGCTGATTGCGCGAAACACTTTCCACATTGATCACAAGTGAATGGTTTCTCTCCAGTATGAACTCTCGTATGTGCAGTGAGGTGTCCTTTTAGTGTGAAACTCTTCCCGCACCGATCACATGTGTACGGTTTCTCTCCAGTGTGAATCCTCTCATGTCTTTTCACATGTCCTGACCGATTGAATCTCTTGTCACAGTGTGAACACTTGTATGGTTTCTCTCCAGTGTGGATCCTCTGGTGCTGTTTTAAACACTTTGCTGAAGTAAAAGTCTTTTCACACTCAAAGCACATGTACTCTCTCACACTAGTATGTATTTTCTGATGTTCTTTTAAATGTTGTGGACATGAAAAACTCTTCCCACACAAATAACATGAATGTGGCTTCTCCTTCGTATGAACGTTCAGGTGTTTCTTCAGGTCTGAAGCCCACAAAAATGTGTTGCCGCATTGATCACATGCATACAGCTTCCCTCCAGTATGAACTCTCATATGAAGCTCAAGATGACGTTTGTTAGTCAAACTCTTCCCACACTGAGTGCAGGTGAAAGATTTCTTGGCTCTTCTTTTCTTTAAATCTTTCTGTTTGGTTTGAAAGTCACTAGTTTTAACATGACTTTCCTCCTCAAATTCACTCAATTCTTCTTTCTCCTCGTTTTCTTCAATCAACTCTGAAATCAAAGTAAAAACAGTTCATTTGTGAGCAGTTCATATATCATCTTTATTGGTGTTTTGTTATTGAACATCTTCCAACTACTGCCTGAGTAATAATGTTTCTCAGAATTAGCCATTAATGGTACTAGATATTCTTTCCAGAAACTGTGTTTTTGTAATATGTAAAATATGATATTTGAAAGTAGGGATGTTCCGAGCTGATCAAGCATTTTTTTAACTGATTGGTATTGGCTCTCCTAAGCCTGATCCTTTGTTAATGTCAGTTGTAGTGATGCAGCGATCACAGTTAAATCTGTGGGCACTGCGGATAATCCGCGGGTCGGGTAATAAAAAAAAAAAATTCTGATTAATTGCAGGTGAATGAGATTAAATCATTAATTACGCAAATATTAACTACATTCTCTGAAATATGAAGGTGTGTTTTTAATGCATTTTTTCATCCGGCAGACGGACCAAAATTTCATTTTGTGTGTGTGTTTGCCTGTTTGGGAAGTTGCAGTGACAGAAACAGTGACATTGCAGTTAAAGCCTGTGTTTAAGCTATTAAGAAAGTGTAGGCTAATCTGGCCAAAGAAGAACTTTTGTTTTAAAATTAAATGTTCGTTTAAATGATGTTTTATTAACAAGGTTCGGGAGGAGCACGATCAGATGGTAAACCAATTCAGCACAGGTGGAGCTTGTTTAGTTATTCATCTTAACCAGCATGATATGTATATATACAGCCAACTTACCTCTGTCCCACAACAGTTTTCCGGCATCCCTCCTCCACCTCAACTCCTCACTTTAACTATTCTCATCCCAGATTAGGGATAAGGGGAGTTCTCTGGGTTCACGCTATATTCCGGGCTCTGAGCCCTCCCCTCAGGACAGCATGCCAAATATGCTTACTATCTGCTCAATCCAATTATATGTAAGTGCGAACTCGGGAAAAGCAGCCTACGATCAGCGTTTTATGTTAACATTACCATTCATGGCTCCGACAAGGTTTTGTTCCGTCTTCCACGCGGTGTCAACTCACACCAGGAACTAAGCAACTGGATTCGCAAGACCATGAGATTTGCTTGTCCAACGTTGTTTTCCTTGATTTTCTGTGGGTTTTTTTTTTTTTTGGGTTCTACCTATCTAGTTATGAATGACAAAGATAAAAGGCATGCAGCTGTTAAAATACATAAATTATCTAATTATGTGCAGCTTGGACGCGGCGTCCATCAAAATTAGACTAGGAGCATATCTTTAGCAAAGCAGCACAGAGAGCCACTTCTGGATGCTTCTGAAATGTGCGGTGGGTATAAACACAAACCAGAGAGTGCTTGAGAATTTATATCGTAAATACATCAAATGTTCGACCAATCAGATTATTCGGTCCAAACATTAGGATACCTGCCTGTGAATGTATGTATTTGCATTTTTCTGCGCACCTTTCACGCAGACACGATATGTTATCATTTATTATGTTATTGCAGACTGAGCGAGAATGGAAGGTGTTATTGTTGTAATATTATGTACTGTACTGTTTTCTCACCGGTGAATTATGGTGAGTGTGATTTGACCAAGTACAACATGTTCCTGGATCAATGTTGTAGGAAAATTAATGTTTTACTCTTTCTTATTTACTTTCTTAGACATTGTGGGTTTTTATTTATATATATATATAAATAAATTTACAATCAGGAGTAGGTGCTTCTACACCCTTGTTAATCAGCTATCATTTCCCACTGATTTTAGGAATAAATTATGGGTAGGGTTAGGTTTAGGGGTGGGGATTGGGTTAAGTCTGTATTTTTGGACAGTAATGTTGATCCAGGATCAACAAAAGATGTTAATCCAGGAACATGTCTTACCTGGCAAAATCACGGCGACCAGTGAATTATACATGAGGTCAATGCCGTCTCTCATCGTTTCACTAGTTAGTCTCTTTCACTAGTAAACACCAACCTGTTTGTTCTTCAGTATCTTCAGTGTGTTTCATTCTGCAGGGTTCTGGATCTCTCATTATCTCTCTGTCCTCTTCAATAAACTCAGTCTTTGCAGATTTCAGCTCTTCCTGATGCTTTGATGCTCGTCTGCACTTGTGAACTGATGGAAATATTCCAGCATTTATTAGTGAATTGCTGAATGTGTGATTGTTGTGGAAGGAGCTTCGCTGAACATGAATATCTGTGTGGAAGAAGCAGATTTGCCCAAATCAACAATACATCAGTTACTGAGTGTTTTTTTGTATTATTATTATTACACATTTAAGCATTTATGTAAGTGAAACATTTGTAAATTTAATGTGTCTGGCTTCCAGTGTCATTCACTTCCAGTTCATTTTAGCTGTACAAAACAGCTTGTTATGCTGCTTGAAACTGCAAACTGGTATTTTTTTTACTATATTATATTAATGTGTTGTCTTAATTATAAACACATTCATTTGTAGTGCATACAATTTGACCATTTACTGTACTTGGATATTCTTCTGGATTTTTCCCTGTAGCGGGTAATGAATCAGAAGTCTCGCACATTCGCAGAAAACAGCTTGCTTCTGCATTGGAAAATAAGGTGGATAACGGCCAGAGGTTGTCTTATTATTGGGAGATTGGAAAAAGCATAATGGCTAACTTGGATCATGTAAAGCACCTCATACAAAATAAAGCTAATCATACAATGGCCTCTGGTCTCCTTCCCTGTGTACTGCCAAAGCCGCAGTGTTAGCACCAGCCCTGCTACACCTTTTTGGTTGCAGGCTTGCCTTCCAGTGGCTTTGATAATGGCAACATGATGCCTAAGGGAACATCCAATAGTTCAATTATGCTTAAACGCTGACATTGTCCAAGTATTAGCCTAATTAACATGACATTTAACTAAATATGATTTAAAAACACACAAGCTTGAAGTAGGTTCCTAGTGACAAGAATGGCTTACTATAGTTATACTGTTCTCCCTTCATGTTAAACCTTTCCTAAGTCTGACAGCAAGTTAAACTCCATCAATTATACATTCGAGAAATGGAAGTTTCAATTTCAGCATTTATTGCAGCTTGATGTCCGAACTCTACAATAGACCTGACACTAAAGGAAAAATACAATCTCTAGTTAGTCTCATGACTGAACGTGTTCAAATAACACAAATTATAATATACAGGTTACAAGAATGTTGTTAATATTACACACATTTGCATATTAACATCGATTTTTGTATATATTTACGATTTGCATTGAAAAAGCTTAAGATAACATGCTATGTGTATAAATGACAACGTCTTAACCACTTTACACATTAATGTCAAGAATACATGTCGCCCGAAGCAAGTAGATAAAGAAACTTACAGCTAGTGATGGGACGATTGATACCGCAGCTGCGAGGCTCCGACGCAGTTTTCAAAGCACTATTGTATCTTCTTCTTCTTCTTCTTTTGGTTTTATGGCGGGTTGCGAACCAACTTCATAGGTGCATACCGCCACCTACTGTGATGACTGTGATGGAGAATGTACTCACCTAAATCTTAAATTCTGTTCATTATTCCACAATTCTTAAGAAATCTCATGACTGCACTTATTTGTTTTCCTGCATTTGGACCATCATTCAGGATACTACTTAATGAAAATTCTTTAACTCCTAAGGATTGTCTATTGTATCACACACTGTGCCGATACTTGTATCGAAATGACAACAGCACGTGATTGATGACGTTTGAAGCTTCGAACGTCATGCAGTATGGGAAGGTCGGGACAGCTGGGCCATAGACATATAAATAATTTCATAATACTTGTCTGTCCTGAGGCACAACTTAAAATGTTGTTATAGGGAAGAATACAAAATATAAGAGTCTAGGCTCCAGAGAAATGTTTTTAGATTCTTGTCAGTGTTATATTTAAAATGTAATTAAATCAAGTAGAAATGCTTCAAAACATACAGTTACAGAACATTTTATTAGTATATTAGTGCCGCATACATTGTGATATGATACTGGTCAAATACTCCTATGCATCATTTCAAATAATAAAGTCTAACGTAATTCTCTCAACATTCTCTCCACCAAAGAGTCGAGAAGTTGTGTTAATTAATCAAACAAGCCTGGTATAGTGGGTCATGATTAGCACAGTTATATTTGCTTTTTTGTTCATAAAAGCATAGCCATATCATAGAGATATAAAACCATAAACCTGCTTTTTATTTATCTAGACAAAAATATATATTTTATTAGAGACCTTTGGTAACAAAACTGAAAAGACGCTTTATTATAAAAAATGAAGTATATTAATCATATAAAGGTTCAAGATATTAATGATTACAAATATATGCCAGTAATTTCTGTAGCATTTTGGACGTTTTTGTACGATTTTGATGGTATTTTTATTGCATTTTCATGCATTTAACCAGCAGATGTCCCCAGAATCAACCATTCGCCCATACAAATAAATACATTTTGTTTGTTTATTTATTTATAATAAGGATTAGCTCTATGGGAGCAGTAGCATATAGCCTGAGTAATCTTTACATGTAGCATTCTGAACACGTCAGATTGTTATGCCACTTTAAAGGGGTCATATGATGTTGCTAAAAAGAACATTATGTTGTGTATTTGGTGTAATGAAATGTGTTTATGTGGTTTAAGGTTCAAAAAACACATTATTTTCCACATACTGTACATTATTGTTTCTCGTCTATGCCCCGCCTTTCTGAAACGTGTTGATTTTTACAAAGCTCATGATTGACCAGCTATCCAGAGCGTTGTGATTGGCCGAATACCTCAAGTGTGTGACCTCTTTTGGAAGACCAAACAAAGTAGTTTCGCCTTGAGTGAGCGGCGGCTGGCGGATTCGATGAAGGAGCGTCCTGCGGGCTTGCGGCAACCACATGTGACGACCCTGGGCTGGACTCTGCTTCATCCACGGTGAAAGCCGATCCGGCGATCCACAGCGCGAAGTTGATGTATTTCCTCAGCGACCAGCACGGATCAACTCCAGGCATGACGAAGCAGATATCGTCCTCTTTTGGAAGACCAAACAAAGTAGTTTCGCTTTCACAACGAAACACACAGCGCCTTCACAACATGGCGGCAGCGGCAACAACAATACTACAGCGAGAATAAAAGTTACGCCTTCTTTCTTTGCGTGAACATTTGGGCGGCGTTATGCAAATCTTCCCACATTGTGACGTAGACATGTGGGGGCGTGTTAGAACGAGCCGTTTTAGGTAGGCGTGGTGAACTCTTAACTTTTATAAAGAATATCTCTTTGTATTTGAGACTTTAGTCTTTGCAACTTTACAGATCTTCTTTATGCACCAAGAGCTTGTAACACTCCAAAGAGAAAGGAAAAATTTAAATCGCATCATGTGACCCCTTTAACTTTCACTTCTGTACTGGTAATAGATGTGGACTTGGATAAATAAATCTCAAGTGACATGCAAAAACAATGACCAAAACAGTTCTGAAACCATGTTTATTATACACAAAGATTAATTATTATTAAGGTTGCTTTCTTTTACAGAGATTAGAGTAGATAGAATTATAAAAGGTTATGAAATTCATTGTTACATTAGGAAAGGCTAAAATTGGGCCCCATTCCAGCCCTGTATATCCAACTTAGCCCTATCTAGAGCATTAATAAGTGACTTTCTCTGCTCTTTCTGGAGCGTGTGGATTGTATATCAAACATTTACATTGTATATGTTTGTGTACAAATGCAGATGAAAAAAAAAGACTGACTTCTAATCAGTTACTTTTTTAAGAGTTATTGAAATATGTATTTGTCTATAAAGATAAGTGAAAGACAGGTGGTGACGTGTGCAGTCTTTCTATTGTAATAAATAGCAATTGAGGGTTTTCCACACAGAGAAATGCTCAAGTTAATAAATACTGCATGACAAACTTACGACCACGCTTAAAAAATGGGACCCTGCTGCAGCTGACTTGAGCTCAATGTATGTTATAAAGAAATGCTTGTCTTATATTCTGCTCAAAACTCTGTTTGTTCTGCTGTTGTTCATTTATCGGTTATAGAAGAAGTATTTATGTTTTATAACTGATACTGTAGCTCTTCATAACATGGACTATGTTACGATCATGACCAGTTTAACAACGATTTCCTACACTATGTACTGAGGTAAAATGTGCTTTTTGCTGTGTTAAATCTAAAAATACCTGTGCCTTAAAAAATAAAATGTAACTAATGGTAAATGCAGAACATTTTCATTTGAATTTTATTCAATAAGCAGCATCATATAAGGATCCCTATATTTTATTTCTAGTTTCATCAACAAAATACAGTGTTTAAACATATTCCTTTCACCATAAATTTCATCTTTGTTTGCACCTTTCAGACACCTCACTCATTCGCTTAAAATATTTATCACAAATGCTTCTTTAAAACGATTTTTCTTCACAAAAACAAACATGCATTGTTTTAGTTCATGATTTATGAAGCAGAAGCGTCTCTTCTCAGACCCTTGAGATGTGATGTATGTGCAGTACACATGCTTATTGTCTATACAAATGTCATTGGAATTAGGGGTTATTGATAGACAGGTTACTTGTTGCATCACCATAGCAACAGTGTATTGATCAATCGGCATGCTGGTTTGATTATTGATTGTTTGGATGGGGGAGGGCAGCTCTGTTTTTATATCTGCATCTCTGATCACAGACTGATGATGAATGAAACGAACGCATTTTCTAACGAACACGGTTTAAAAAGGTAACATGTCCAGAAATGCGTCAGCACACGCTTCCCTCACATCTGTCATCATTCAGTGGATCACTGTGTGTCTGCTGTCTCTGGGCTTCCTCTTGAATTCTCATATGTGATAGTTATTCCATATTCAAGCGAAATTTTAACACCATGACTTTATAGTGTAGCCGGTGAAAGAACAACAACATCTAACTAAATATTCTACTTAAATGTGGGAGCTTTACGCACGCAGTTATAACTTCGAGGTTAATTTTTACATTTATCTTTAGTTTCGTATGCTATAATAATAATGACCTAAACTGT